TTTCGCGAGAATTGGGGGGGGAACGGGGGAATGGGGGGAAACGTATGGAAATATACAAAATTAGTGACGTCAGACTTTGCTCAAAAAAAAAAAAAAAAAAAAGTTAAATTTCCTTGATTTCGTCAAACAAAAAGCAGATGACGAGGTTAAAAAAAAAATGAAAATTTTCCCTCTCTCTCTCTCTCTTTTTCTCTCTCTCTTTCTCTCTCTTTCTCTCCTCGATGATGCATTCGTGTGGTACGTTCGTTTTGAAATTTAACCTTAAAAGGTACGTGCTGTGAAAAATCCTTGATATTAATCGCATTTTTTTTTTCTTTGGACATTTTGGACATCGTGGCAGAAGACAAAACAACAACAAAAACGCGCTCATGTTCAAATTTTCTATCATAAACAAACGTTTGAAATTTTTTGCTCAGGTTTTTCTTTTTTCCCTCCCCCTCTTCCCTCTCCTCTCCCCGGGAAATATTACGAAAAGAGATTTGAAATGGGGGTAAAAAAAAGTTTTCATTTTTGTACGAAAGATGTCTCTACGATCAAAAAGATTCAAGCAATAACAACAACAAAAAAAATGATAATGATAATGATAAAGAAAACATTTTTGGACAAAACAAAAAAAAAAAAAAACATAAACAATGGCGAGAAAAATTTTATTCATTTTTGGTAAAAACAAACACACACACGAAAAAAAAAAGAATTATCGATTGTTTGTTTGTTTGTTCGTTTGTTTGTTGAAAATATGATGATTTAATACGATTGGAATCGATGGAAAAAAAAAAAAAAAACAAAACGAATTAAAAATTGTTTTCCTTTTTTTGGGGTGTGGGCGTGCGCGCGCGTGCGTGCCTGAAAAATATTGAAAAAGTCAAAGTTCGAATTTAATTAAACGGGGGCTATTTTTTTCCTTTTTCCCCCTCACCATTTTTTCCTGTAACGAACACACCGTCGTCATTATCATTATTATTATTATTTTTATAAATATCGATGAGTATTAATTAAAAATAAAAAAATCTTTTGGACGATCCTGATGACGTCGACAAAAAAAAGAGAGAGAAAGAGAGAGGAGAAAGAAAGAGAGGAAAAATGGTTTTGTAAAACGTGAGTGAAACTTTTTTTTTTTCCTTTTCCTTCGTTTCCTTTCCTTTGTGCAAAAGGAAAAAAAAATTTTTTTTTTTTTTTTCAACTTTTAAATTTATCCCGTTGTTAGGCCGAGTAGAAAATAATAATAATAATAATAATAATTTAAAGCATTTTTCTTTCTAATGATGAATCGAAGTGGAAAAATAAAAAAGTTTTTCGGACTCTGGGTAGTTGGGTTTTTCGTTTGTTTGTTTGTTTGTTTGTATTTTCATTCATTCATTCATTTTTTATTTTTACCTCGTTTTCGAAACGCGCTCTTTTTTTTGTGTGTGTGTGTGTGTGTTTGTGTTTGTATGTTTGTGTATTATCAAAGGAAATTCACGATCGAACGTATCGAATTAATTGATTTTTTTTCAGTTTAATTTTTCGTTATCGAAAATTACAAAAAAAGGAAAATAGGAAAAAAGGAAAAAAATTTTTTTATCTCGGAGGCGAAAATAAATCAAATAAAAAAAAAAAAAATGAGGACGATGAAAAGCGCAGGAAGGGGGGGGAGGGGGAGGGAAAATAAAAAAGAGAAAAAAAAATGAAGTTTTTTTTTCTCTTTTCGGTAGCTTCCGTGAAATCACTTTTTCTCTTTCTCTTTCTCTCTCTTTTTCCCATTCTTTCTCTTTTTCTCTTTCTCTCTCTCTTTCAAAGAAAAAAAAGGAATTTGTACGTATTGATTACTTTCGATAACTTAATTCTTTTTTTTTTTTTTTTTTTTTTTTTTTTTTTTTTTTTTTTTTTTTTTTTTTTTGTAACCTCTGGAGAAATGAAGTTCCTACGAAAAAGAATCAAACATTGTTAAATTGCTAAATGAGTTTTTAAAAAAGAAAGAGAGAGGGGGTGGTAGGGGGAGCAACGTTTTTGTAAAAATTCCAGTCGGGAGAAGAAATATAATAAGTTTTCCCCCGGGGGAGGGAGGGAGGGAGGGGGTGAAAGGAAAAACCATAATAATTAACAAAAACAGACTTGGTAGTAGTCATTTTTTTTGTTCGAACTCTCTTAATCTCTCACCTTTTTCCCTTCCCCTCCTCTCTCTTCGTCCTCCTCCATCTATCAAGGATTTTTTTTTTTTTAGAGAACTTTCCGCCTTATTAATAACTTTCGATAAGGTAATGTTAAGAGAGAGAGAGAGAGAGAGAGAGAATGATAAAGATAAAGATGGAAAGTGTATTAAAATCATTTACCATTAGCGTTAAATCTCATCGAAAAAGGAGTAATAAATGTTAAAATATGGCGACGGGAAACGATTTGTGGGGGACGGAGGAGGAGGAAAAGGGGGGAAGAGAGAGAGAGAAACGTGGTAGGAGTGCGAAAAAAAAAAGATTCATCAAATTCAATTACATTTGATTACATTAATTCTTGACTAATTTTTTTTTTTTTTTTTTTTTCGATTTAATCGTTAACAAATCGAATTTTTTTTTCGAATCTCGCCTTTAATTGAAAACTGTGGGGGGGAGAGAGAGAGAGAGAAAATAATTTTATGTAAAATTGTGAATAGGGAAATTAAAGTAAATAGTAGGGAGGAAGTGGAAGGGAGAGTGAAAGGAGGGGAAGGGTTTAAATAAAAAAGAACGGAAAGGTTCGGAAAGGATTTTTTTTTTAAAAAAGTCGGGATTTAAAACAAAACGACCGGTCATTAATTTTTTTTTTTTTTTTTACCCTGGAAATCCACAGTAGTTAAATTTTGTTTTCTAGACTTTTTAAAAAGATATTTGCGGTACAGGTTGAGAGAAAGAGAGAGATAATAATAAAGGTTTTGTCGGAAGCAAAAGAGGGTGCGAGGGACGGAGGGAGGAAAGGAAAAGGAAAAGGAAAAGGAAAAGAAAAAGAAAAAATTATTATTATTATTATTTATTTCTTTTAATATAATTTCGATAATTTTATAAAATTAATCAGATATTCGTCTGCCATTTTGTTTTTTTTTCTCTCTCTTTCGAAATTCCAAATAAAAGGGAGGAGGGGAAGGGGGAAGAAGAGGAGGATACGGAAGTGGAAAATTATCATTATTCGTTTGCAGAATTTAAAATTTCTTTTTTTTTTTTTTGTATTATTAAGAATTAAAGAAAATAAATAAATAATAAATAAATTTAATTATCGATAAGAAAAGTTTACCAATTATAATTTAAAAAGAAAAAGGGGAATAAAAAAATAAAAATCGATAATCGAACGATCGATCGATCGATCGAATAATCGTTCTGGGTCACGTATCCAAACACACACATAAATATATTTATATTTGTTAATTACCCATTTTTAATTTTGTTCTCCCCGTCTCCCTGATTTTATATTTTTTTTTTTTTGTCGCCGTGATTATTAATATGTTTAAAAATGTTCAGGTGATTCATTTGTGAGGAGATGAAGAAGAAAGAGAAAGCCGGAGAGAGAGAGAGAAAGAGAGAAAGAGGAACGAGTGGAAAATGTGAAAAATCATTATTTACCACAAAATTTTATTCATAATTTTTTTATTTTATTTTTATTCTTTAATCTTTAATCTCCCCTTTCTCTCTCTCTCTCTCTCTCTCTCTCTCTCACACACACACTGACATTAAAAAAAAAAAGAAAGATACAAACAAACAAACAAACAAATTTCTGGGTGTTCGCTTTCGTCGGATTTTGTCTCTTATAAACAATTTTTTTGGTTGAGTGCCAGCCAGGCAACAAGACGAACGCCAAAGAAAATTTTTATTAACCGCCTTTTTTCTCTTTTTCTTTTACATCCCTCTCCCTCTCTCTCTCTTTATCTCTCTCCCATTAAATATCGGTATTCATTTTGTTGCTGTCAGTCATTTATTATTATTATTATTGCCATTGTCGTCGACGTCGTCGTTATTACTATTTTTTTTTTATTAATATTATTATTATTATTATTATTATTATTATTATTATTATTATTATTTTACTTGTTATGCGGGGCGGGAATATCAAAAAAAAGGTAAAGAGAAGAGGAATGGAAGGAAGAAGAAGAAAAAAAAAAAAAAAGAAAAAAGGATTGGAAGGAAGGAAGGAAGGCAGAGGAAGAAAGGAAAGGTTGCCAGATTAGCATTTTCTAATGCCACGATTGATATTCTTTTACCGTGTTTTATATTCGCTTACCTCATAAATTTTTTTTTTTTTTTTTTTCGTGTCTTCTTTCCTGCAGCTTTTACTTTTTATTATATTTATGAGTTTTTTTTTCATTTTTTTTTTATTCATATTTTTCTGTTTTGTTTTGCTTTCCCCCGGACCTTATTCTGTTATGAATGTTAATTTTTTTTGGTCGTGGTGACCCGCCCCCCGCCTCCCTTCCTCCCCCATTAGAGTATTTAAGTGGGTGTTGGTGGTTGAGACTAGTGTATAATGATGTCATTCGTAAGAATGTTGGAAATAAATTTAATTTCCGTAAATATTAATTATGTTTACATAAAAAAGTTTGTTGTCCTGACCTGCAATCGTTCTGTTGCCAAAAAACAAATTTTTTTTTTTTTAAATTTATGAATTGGAAAAAGAGACACTGAGAGAGAGAGATAGAGAGAGAGAAAGAAAAATTACGGTTAGACGTGATTGCGTCGCATAAAATTCCATTGCACGGGAAAAAAAAAAAAAAAAAAAAAAATGCGAATTTCAATTTTGTTTGTTTCGTCGTCGCGAAACAAACGACTTCTTCCATATTTTCCCTTCCTCTCTCTCTCTCTCTCTCTCTGTTTTTCCTCTCCTTTTTTCTCATCATCATTTGATGATGTTTCGACATTCCCGGGAAAATAACATAAACCTTAATTATAATGACACACTACGTTTCATTCCTTTTTTTTTTTTTGTCGTGGCACAAAAGTTTTTTTTTCCTTTGACAATTTTCCTTTGTCCCTGAAATTTTTCCATTTTTTTATTTTAGTTTTTTTATGTTTGCGCGTGTAAGTGATTTTAATCCTTTTTTTTTTTTTTATGAAATTGATGAAATGTTTTTTTTTTTTTTTTTGATGTTAAATGATGGTCGTTTGAATCAATCGAATTGATTTATATTTCCTATTCATCTCAATTTTCTTTTTCTTCTGCTTCTTCTTCTTCTGTTTTCAACGTGTCGGATGCTGTTATGGGTTTAATCAATCAATAAATTATGAACGAATTCATCTTATTATCACACGGATTTTTTATTTATTTGTTTTTTGTTTTTTTTTTGTTTCTTTTTTGTTGTTTTTCAGTTCAATCACCCGTTTTTTTTTTTTAGTAAAACGATTCATTCATTCAATCAGTCATTCATTCATTCATTTATTGTTTTCATTTCGTTTTTGTTTCGAATCAATCGTTAAAAAAAAAAAAAACAAAAAAAAAAATTATCGACGGATCGGTTTCGAATTTAACCGAAAAAAAGGAGACTATTACAACTACTCTCGTTACAATTATTATTATTATCATTATTATTATTATTGTTTTTTTTTCGTCTGCAGATACTGCTCAAAGACAACGGAGAGGCTGAACTTCGAGCGAAGAAAAGTCTGAATTGCGAAAAGCGTAAAAATTATAAATTTGACATTGCGGCCGTCGGATGTTCCGGAGAAATTTCAGACAAGTAAGTTGGGGGTCCCCCTCCCCTCCCCGCGCGCGCGAGGAAAGATTTTCACACAAATATTATTATTATTATTATTATTATTATTTTATATGTACGAGGAACGTGAACGGGGATTTTAATGGATTTCACAGTCGTACGTGACAATATCGGATAAAATGAAGAAACGATGTAGAAAAAAAAAAAAAAAAATTTAAAGTTTTTTTTTTTTTTTCGGATTATTAATTCGATATTCCAAACGCGTTTTTACACTTTCGAAGAGTATTTTAAATTGTACCCGTTCGAATACCCGAATTAAATACCATATTTTTTAACCGTTAAAAGAAATCGTTTCGTAATGTTATTATTATTATTATTATTATTTCCGTTCGTCGTCGTCGTCGTCCGGACGAACGGACGTTATTTCGATCTTTCGGTTTTCGATTTCAAAATTTTGCTGATTTTTTCACTTTTTTATAAACGAAAGATTATTTTATTGTTATTTAATAATACAATAATAATAATAATAATAATAATAATAATAATAATGATAATTTTTTATCGTTTTCTTTTTTTTCAATTCAAGTGCAACCGTACATATCTCTGTTGTGGATATCAACGAATATCCACCTACGTTTATCGAACCAAGTTACGTGAAACAAGTAGATGAGGGAAGGTTGTATAATGAAATTGTCAGAGTCGAAGCAACCGATAGAGATTGCACCCCTAAATTTGGTGACGTTTGCAAATATGAAATCCTCACGAGCGATCAACCCTTTACAATCGATAATGAAGGTGAGGATAATTGGGTGAAAGAAAAGTTTTGTAGAATTTCGACACGTGGGTAATTTATTATTATTATTATTATTATTATTATTATTATTGTTATTATTTTGCAGGAGCCATACGTAACACGGAACCTTTGGATTACGAAAGAAGTCACAATCATATTCTTTCCGTCGTTGCTTACGATTGCGGAATGAGACAAAGTTTACCGGTCATGGTTACCATCAAGGTTAATAGAGTGTGCAAGTTGGGATGGAAAGGTAGGTAACGAGTTGATTAAAATTATTATTATTATTATTATTACGGGAATACTCATTACGATGTATTTTACGTTTCGAAACATAGGAATACCTGAAAGAATCGATTACGCTCCCGGAACCGGACGTGAAGATTTATTACCGGATGCGTCTTTGGAATTGTGTGAAATTCCATGTACCGTATCGAAGGTTTTGACCAGAATAAGTTTGGCAACTTCGCACATTGGAAAAGGATGCGATAGAGATACATATTCCGTACAAAGTCAAAGAAAGTTGTGCGGTGAGTTGGAAAAAAAAAAAAGAAATTTTCGGGAGAAAGAGAGAGAGAGAGAAAAGGGATAAAATAATATAAATTTTCTTTTATCGTTTCGTTTCGTTTTTTTTTTAGGCGCCAACAAAAAAAGCGTGGATTTATTACCATCGCCGGGATTAGGAACGGAATGGACGAAACCTTTGCCAACGGACGAAGGACGAGAAAGCGACGAAATATTTGAATTTGACGGATCCACAACCGCCGTCGCCATTCCAAAAGATGTCGTCGATCATAATCTTTCAACGGTTTTCACAATATCCGCCTGGCTAAAACACAAACACATACCGAATCAAGAAAAACACGTGAAAGAACACGTTGTTTGTTCGGCAGACGATCACAGTTAGTGTTGTTTACGATCAAACTCGAAAGTTTCGCAATCGATTAATAATCGATAATTTTTTTTTTATTATAGAAATGAACAGACATCATTTTGCCGTTTTCATAAGAAACTGTCGTTTGATATTATTATTGAGGCGAGACTTTTCCGAAGGTGATTTGAACATATTCAGACCTGCCGAATGGCGTTGGAAAATACCTCAGGTACGCAATTAAAACGTGTTGTCGATAATCATCAAAATCATCGATTATATTATGATGGCGTGGAATTTCAATAATAAATTTCCTATTATTATTATTTACTCCTCCTCCCCTCGTCCTCCTACATTCTCCTCCCCTTTCTCCTCCTTCTAAAAAAAAAAAAAAAAAAAAAAAATTACAAGAAACATGAAAAAAGATGAAGGAGGAAGGAAGAAAGGAAGGAAAATGAGTTTTTTGCGTGAAACGTATTCGTATTAATAATAATAATAATAATGATAATATCGAAATGTAATTTTAATAACGAGAAAATAACATTTTGTAGAAAAGTATTATTTTTTTCCTTTTTTTCCTTTTTTTTTTTGCACGCAAAAAAGTTTTAAATTTAACACAAAAAGAAAAAAGAAAATTTTTATTTATATGCAAAATTTTTTTTTTTTTCTTTTTAAATCAATAAAATTTATTTTTATTTCTCGGGTTAAAAATGATTTGTTGTTTTTTTTTTTTTTGTTAAGGTTTGCGATAACGAATGGCATCATTACGCCATTTCCGTTAAATTCCCACAAGTCGATTTATACCTTGATGGACAATTGTTTAAAACGGAAAAGAAAAATCCGGAAATAATCGACGATTGGCCTTTGCATTTGACGAAAGGAATAAACACGACGTTGACCGTTGGAGCTTGTTGGCAAGGTAAGGGAGGAAGGCATCGTCCCCCCACCATTACGAACTTTAACGTGGAATATTTTTTGTTATTTGAAAAAAAAAAACCTTTTTTTTTTCAGGTTCCGAAAATAAAATGAAACATCATTTCAGAGGTTACATAGCCGGTTTGAGTATCCTTTTGGGTGAAAATGAAAAATCCGAGGTTTTGTCTTGTCTTCACAAGTGTAAGGAAACTTTAGAAGTACCAAGTGTTAAATTACTGGAACCTGGAATGGAACTTATTACAAACAGCGGTTCGTTCTCTCTTTTTCCTTTTTTCCTTTTTGTGATTGCGTGATAGAAAATATTGACACGAATTGGAAAAAAAAATTAATTTAATTTAATTTAATTTTAGATCTGACGGAGCTTTCAATCGAGGGTAATAATAAAACTAATTTGGAAACTTTAATACGTAAAGTCGGTTACATAAATTCAAGAGAATTTCCAACTCCGGGACGAAGAAACATTCACATCATGACACAAGTCACGTAAGTGTTGTAACGAGGAACGAAATTTAAAAAATCCAAACCCGGAAACAGAATGAAAAAACAAAAACCGGAAGCGGAAATGATTGAGTGAGAGAGAGAAAAGTTCGTTACGTAATTGAACCCGTTTTAATTTTCAGGTGCGATAAAAATCACGTTGTTAAAATTCCACCTGTGGAAAGTTACGTAATGGTTTTACAACCCCAAACACCGACGATAGAAATAAATGGTACGTCAAACATTGCGAGAGAATATGAAGATTTCAGGGAGGGAGTCAGAGTTTTCACTGATATACACATAACGGTCGGAACAACGAGCAAACATGAAAAAGTTTGGAGACAAGGTTAGTTTTAGTATCGATTTGGGAGTCATTTTCGTTGAATCCCTTTTCTCCCCTTCCTCCCCTCTCTTCCCTCTTTCCCCCCGCAAAAAAAAAAAACGATGTTGCGTGATGTTTTCATTTTTTTTTTTTTTTACTTGTTTGACCTTTTCCCCCCATCGTTTCCCCCCACACACTTGCACACTCTTTTCATTTAACAGAAAAAAAAAACAAAATTTAATTTTGTTATTGACGGTTTTGGGGTTTTGTTTTTTAGGTGAACCCATGAGCGTGATTGAAAAAAAATTAGATTCTTGCACCGTAAGCGTTTATCCATCTCTTAATCCGGATCATGAAACATTAACACTACCAGAAAACATGGTGTCACAATTGGGTATCACGGCTAAAGTAAATAAAGATGGAGCCGTGATAATAGGTGCCGATATAATATACAATTATCAGCAGGTGATTGATTGATTGATTGATTGATTGATCGATTGATTATCGAACGGTTTATTCTTGCGCGTTATGTTTAAATGAATTTTTTTTCTATAAATGACGTTTCAGGTTTTGAGGCACATACAATACACAAACAGAAAACCAGCTTATTATTTAAACAGGGTATTTAAATTGATTTGTACGGAGCTTAACGGACGATTCACGAGTAACGAATATGTTCAAACTGTGAGTTTTCCTTTTTTAACCTTTTTTAAATGGCGACGTGGGAAGGAAAGATGAAAAATTGTTTTGTTTTAGCTTACGGTCATTCATCCACGCGTTCCTGCCGCCACGACGAAACCTCCCGCAAATGAAAAGGTAATTAAACCCGTTGTGTTACATCAAGTTGCACAAAACGTCGTACAATCCCATGCGAAAATGGATAGGCACAGCGTGGAAATGAGACCGTCCATCGATGAGTACATACACGATAGAACTCAAGCAGTCGTGGCAGGAGGAAGTGAGTCGATACCTTCTTTTTTTACCTTTTCGAGTAAGGGGAAAATTTATTGACTTTTTTAAAAAAAATTTTCAGGTCACGCGGTCACCATAATAATTGTGGTTTGCGTCGGTTTCCTTCTTTTCATGATCGTACTCGGTGTCATAAGAATCCGAGCCGCTCATCATCAGAACACGGTACAAGAAATATCCGATACGGAAATGGCTTGGGATGATTCTGCACTCACGATAACCGTTAATCCGATGGAAGTAAGTCTCGGACGGAGGATTCGCGATTCTTTTTTTTTGTGTCCAACATTAACAAATTGTGTTTTTTTTTTTTTTTTTTTTTTTTGGCACAGGAAATGGACGGCGGAAACAACGGATTTAGCGACGCGAGTAGGAAAATGTTGGATCACGACGACGATCTCAGTTCCTCGGATTCGGAATGTTGCATGGATTCAAGCGACGACGAGGGTCCTCCGCCTTCTTGCAAGGGTTTAGAATGGGATAACTCGACTCTTGCCATATGAAATCCTTTTATCAGGTGAGAATAAGTAACGGTAACAACAAAAAACAACAACGACAACGACAAACGATTACGATATTTTGTTCGCGACCTCACACATTTATCACGAATCGATAATAAATAATTTTTTTTTTTTACAGATTTTAAACTTATCTGTAAATGAAATGAATGAAGATAAAAAACTAACAAACAATGAAACAAACAAACAAGCAAATCAACCTTCGCTGGAAAAACAAACAAACAGACAAACAAACAAAAAATTAAAAATTAAAAACAGAAAAAAAAATATAATAAATTCACTTACACACACACACACACACACACACATATTTTGCAATCTAAATTGTTTCATATATTATGGTGAGTCTGTGCGTGAAAGTGCGTGTAAATGCGTAAAGTATGGGTGTGAGCGTGTGCGTGTATCCGTACATATAAAAAAAAACCGTTAAAAAAATGATGAATCCGAAGGGAAAAAAATCACACGCACACTCTGTGAAAATATAAAAAAATATTAAAAAATTGTGTATATCGTGGTGTTGGATGTTTTAAAAAAAAAAAAATACGCTTGGTTATAACAAATTAATAATAATAATAATAATAATAATAATAATAATAATGATAATGATAATAATGATAATGAATAGGAGTGCATATTTTAAATTTTTAAATAAATAAAACATATTTTTAATAATTTTTAAAACAAGGAAAAAAATTTTTTTATTCAACACTTTTTTTTTAATTTATTTATCGGAGCAAATTATTATTATTATTATTATTATTATTTAATTAAGTTTTTTTTTTTTTTTTTTTTTTTTTTTTAATGCGATTAAATTTTGTATTAAAAAAGAGATGAAGAGGGAGAGAGAGGGGAGAGAAAAAGAGATGAATGGAAAAGTTTTGTTTTGAAAAGGTTTGTTACGTAACGTGTTTTCTTTTAAGACTCTCTCTCTCTCTCTCTTTTTGTTTTTGTTTTTTTTTTTTGTTTTTTGTTTTTAACGAACCCAAAAGAAATTTTCCGTCCTTTTTTTTTTTTTTTTTTTTTTTTTTTTTGTTAAGGGAGAAAAAAAAAAAATTTTTTTTTGTTTTTTATAATTTTTTATTATTATTATCATTTTCTTTTGTTTTTGTTTTCTTAGCTTGTTGTTTGTAGAAAAAATTTGCATTCATGCGATTCTTTATTATAAATAATGCGTGTGCTCCTTAACAGCATCTTTACCTTTCTCTCACACTCTCTCTATTTTATCTCTACCCCCCACCTTCCCCCCACACTCCTCGCTTTCTTTCAAAAAATTATTAATATTTTCTCGTTTATTAAAAAATAAAATTTTTATAATAATAATAATAGTATGGTATATACGTCGTGTAAATTTATAAATTTATCATCATCATTATTAATTATATATGATGACGTCAAAATCGTACTAATCGTAAATGATTTTTTTTGGGGGGAGGAGGGGGAGAAGGGAAAGAAGAAAGATGAGAGAAATTTAAAGGTCGGTTCAAACCGAACAAATTTACATTTATATATATATTTCCGTTTTTTTTTTTTTTTTTACCGTCGGAAAACTACAACAAAAAAACTATTATTATTATTATTATTATTATTATTATTATACATATATATATATAAATAATTACACATTCGTACATTCCATATAAAAAAAAAAAAAAATTTTTCTGTTTTTAATTTTAAAATAAAAAAATAAAAAAGAAAAAAAAGAAAAAAAAAATCAAAATTTGTTATTTTTATTATTTAGATGATAAGTTTTAATTAATTAATTAATTAATTAATTTAAGTAATTTAATTAATTAAATTAATTAATCTGTGTATAAAAAAAAAAAAAAAACAATTTTTTTTTATTTTATTTTTTTTTTGCTTGCGATAAACGATAACGAATAAAAAAATTATTAAAAAAAAAAAAAAATTTTTAAATGTATATTTGTGCGTAAAATTGATTTGATAAATTGCGTGTGAAACACGTGTGTGCGTGATTGAATGAGTGAGTGAGTGCGTGTGTGTACTGCTTTTACGCTTAATACGCCACTGGTTTTATTATTATTATTATTATTTTAAAAAAACGGTTCCGGGATATTTTTTATTTATTTATTTTTTCCTCCCCGTATCATCGTAAAAAAAAAAATTTCTATAAGATCGATCGATCGATTAATCGACTAATCGATTATTTTAAAAGTAAAAATTTAAAAAATTAATAATAAATAACAATAATAATAATAATAATAATAATAAGAGCAGTGTTGATGATTTGTTTTCCTTTAAATGCACAATTTCCCCCCCCCCTTTTTTTCTGTTACTATTATTATTGTTATTACTATCATTATTATTATTATTCTCGCTACTACTACTACTACAGCAGAAGAAAAAAAAATAAACGTTTCGGTTATAAATAAATAAATAAATAAAAAATTAAATTTAAAAAAATAAAATAAAAATAAGCAAAGTCTTCAACTTGTAATAATTTTTTTTAAAAAAATCTCTTTTATTATTATTATTATTATTTAACGTGCACTTTAACATGTTCGAGCATAAACACATACACACACATACTAAAAAACCTTATTAACTAGAAAAAACTAAAATTACTATTAATAATTAGTTGAAAACTTTGCTTTTTAATTATTATTTTTAATTAAATGTATAGAAAAAAAAAAAAAAAAGAAAAAAAATTAGTTAAGGATTATGTAGTTGTAATTAATTAATTAATTAAATAAATGTACCGTTTATTAAGATTAAGTACTTAATTATTTTTAAATTTAAATAAACAAAAAAATAAATAAATAACAATTTATTATTATTATTAATAAATAAAAAATTTATTCATTATAGTATATATATATATATATATATATATATATATATATATATATATATATATATATATATATATATAAGATGATTGATTAACCACAACAACAACAACAAACATTTGTTTTTGTTTTTTTTGATTTTACCCTCGCGTGATTATTATTTTATTAAATAAAAAAAAGCTAAAATGTAATAAATAAATTAATAAATAAATAAACATCTTTCATATCTTGTATAATTATTTATATATATATATTTTAAAAGATGAGGAAGAAAAACAAACAAAAATTTTTTTTTTTTTTTACATCCTTTCTTTAAATTTCCCCCCACCCTCTCTCTCTCTCTCTCTCTCATTTAACTTTAGGTATTTTTTATATTATTTTAATCGTTATTGATTATTAAAAAATTATTAAAATTATTTAAAAAGGAAAATTAAAAAAAAAAAATCAAATGATGAGTTTGTTCGTTTTAATAATAAAAATATACAAATTCGTTATTGAATTAAATTTTTGTTTGTTTGTTTTTTTTTCCTTCTCTTTACGAGTTCTTGCATAATTTTAACGAATAATTATCATTTGTAATTTAAATAAATAAATAAATTTTTCTTCTTATTATTATTCATCAAATTTTAAATTTTAAATTTTTTGTAACGGTTCGAATACGAATCCATTTCCGGTTTTATATAAAATGAAATTACATTTACGTCTGACGTTTGGATTTATAATATATATTAAATTATTTTTATTTAAATAATATTAAAGTTATTAAATAATTCGTAAGTAATAATAAATTAAGTAATAAGAGAAAAAAAAAAAATTGAACGTCTATGATGGATAAAAAAAAAAGCTTTTCCGGTACGCATTCGAAAAGAGTACGTTCAGAAAGTCGAATGACGAAATACCTTGAATTAAAGTCGGCTGTAAGGTGGAACCGCACCCTTTAAGTTTAGAATTCAATAGTTTAAACAATATAACATATAAAAGTGGTTTTTTTTTTTTTTTTATTATTTATTATTATTATTTATTTATTAATTGTAGTTAAATAAATATTTAAAAAAAAAACAAATGAAAATTTAATTATTAATAAAGTTTTTATTTATGTAAAATATAAATAGCGTTAATGTTAACTTATTTTCGAATCATCCATAGTGAAGTGGAGTGATATAATCTGTTTTTCAATCTATTTTAATACAGACCTGGCTTTTCATACATAATATTATATTTCTGCAGGTAAATACAATATTAATTTCGTTTTAAATTTAATACAAATTCCTAATTATTATTACTTATCGTTTCTCTTTTTTTTTTTTTTTGTTTCTGTCATATATATAAATACCGTTCTATAAAATCCAATTGGGGATAGTTAAAATAGCGGCCATTTTGAACGTTTTTTTTTTCTTTTCTTATTCTTTTCTTATTAAAAATAAAGCTATATATATCGGATTCTGTAATATTGTTTAATCGAAGTGTTGAACAATAGTAAATGATAATTCATTATTTGTAATTTTTTATTACAATTTGGTAATTATTTAATTTATTTGTGATATAACTTTCTACCCACTCTCTAGTCATCCTTTTAATATCATTTTTGTCATTTTGTTTTCCTTTTAATTAATATTCATTAAAATTCAAAAATGTTTTTAAATTTGTAATTTTTTATTACGCGTTTAAATTTATAATTGGAATTTATAATTATTTTTGTTAAAAAATTATTTATTTATTTTTAATTTCTTTTCAGCATCAGGCGTAGCCCTTGTTGCTGAATAAATATTATTAGAAATGAATGAATTAGATAGTCTTCGACAGGAGGCAGAAACTCTTAAAAATGCCATACGAGTGAGTTTGGATTAAGAATTTAAGAAAAAAATTTTTTATTGTAATGTCAAATGATAATTTGTTTAATGTTATCATTATTATTATTATTATTATTAGGATGCACGGAAGGCTGCGTGTGATACCACGCTGGCCCAAGCGACGTCCAATATGGAACCCATTGGACGTATTCAAATGAGAACTAGAAGAACATTAAGAGGTCATTTAGCCAAAATTTATGCAATGCACTGGGGATGCGATTCAAAGTAATCAAAATTTATTTTTAAAAATGTTCGAGTAAAGGATTTAAAATGAAAAATTATTAAAGAAATTTTTTTTTACTTTAGTTGTGGGTCCAGAAACTTAGTTTCAGCTTCTCAAGATGGAAAATTAATAGTTTGGGACAGTTACACAACCAACAAAGTTCATGCGATTCCTTTAAGATCCAGCTGGGTCATGACTTGTGCTTATGCTCCAAGCGGTTCATTTGTAGCTTGCGGTGGTCTTGACAACATTTGTTCAATATACAGTTTGAAAACGAGAGAAGGAAATGTTCGAGTATCAAGAGAATTACCAGGTCATACAGGTTATCTCTCATGTTGCAGATTCCTAGATGACAATCAAATTATCACCAGCTCTGGAGATATGACATGGTACAAAAAAGAAACATTTTTAAAAAAAAAAAGGTTTATAATTTTGTAGTTATAATAAAAAAAAAAAATTTTTTATTATTTCAGTGCACTCTGGGATATTGAAACTGGTCAACAATGCACTTCTTTCATTGGGCACACAGGCGATGTTATGAGTCTGTCATTGTCACCCGATATGAGAACATTTGTGTCAGGAGCCTGCGACGCATCAGCCAAGGTACTTATTAGGAATTCATATCCTATACCATGTTTATTTATTTAACATGATATAAAAATTCTAACCATAAATTTAGCAAAATTTGTTTTGAATAATAATGAGTTTTTTAAATATTTTCTTCCATATTAAATATATAACTTTTGAGTATGCAAAAATAATTTTAATTTTAATTTTTTTCTAGCTTTGGGACATTAGGGAAGGAACCTGCAAACAAACTTTTCCCGGTCATGAATCAGATATCAATGCCGTTACAGTAAGTTTAATTTTTTATGTTCGTTATTGAATCCGTTTGATTCTTCATTTTATTTTATTTTTTATTTTTTTTTTTAGTTCTTTCCAAATGGTCAAGCATTTGCTACTGGTTCAGACGATGCAACGTGTCGCCTGTTTGATATTCGGGCTGACCAAGAGCTCGCCATGTATTCCCACGACAATATTATTTGCGGGATCACATCAGTGGCATTCAGTAAATCTGGTCGACTGCTTTTAGCTGGCTACGATGATTTTAATTGTAACGTTTGGGATTCTCTCAAGACAGAAAGAGCCGGTGAGTAATTTAAAAAAAAAAAAAAAAAAAAAATTTACATATTAATAAATCCACGTCTCACACAAACAACAACAAATTTTTTTCCAGGTATTCTTGCCGGACACGACAACAGAGTCAGCTGTTTAGGAGTAACCGAAGATGGTATGGCAGTTGCCACAGGATCATGGGATTCTTTCTTAAGAATCTGGAATTAAAAATCATTTTCAAAAATAATTTTTTCTTTTTTTTTTTTTTTTTTTGAGTTGAGTTGATTTGAATTGACGCAAAAAAAAAAAAAAAAACAATGAAGAGGTATCGTTTTACCATTTTTTTTTTTTTTTTTTTTAAAATTTTACCCCCTACAATTTTCTTGTTTTTTTTTTTTTTTTTTCGCCTGTTATAACGTAGAGATTAGCATTAATATTATATAAATAATACAGCGAAAACCGGAAATAAATATTTAATAGTATATTTTGCTGTCAGTCAATAATAATAATAATAATAATAATTACGTCCATACATAAAGAAAAATTAAAGACGTTCAATATATAGAGATTTATACAGGAAAGAATAGTCATTATTATTTATTTATTTTTTGTAGTTTTTTTTTATTTAATGAAACAAAATAATTTTTTACTTTTTTCCATTCTATTCTATTATTTATTTATTCTGGTTTTCGCCCCCCCCCCCCAAAAAAAAAAAAAAAAAATTTTTTAAATTGTGTTAATTGCATGGTGTCATCATCATTATTTAGCTCTTGTACAAAATATCTTCGACACACATACACACAAATAGGTTTTATTATTATTATTATTATTACTACTACTACCTAAGGCAGCCTTATAAATATTTTTTGTCGCTTTTATCGCAACCCTTTCAACGTCATCATCATCATATCATTATTGACAGACATCATTCATTATTTTTTATTATTTAACTTATGTAATTTATGTTTATTATATATATATATATATATACATATATCAATATATATATAAATCTTTATATATAATAATATTGTAGGGCATTTAGTCGAGATATTTTTATGAAAGAATGCAATTATCGAGGAAATTTTTTTTTTTAATAATTATAAACAAAAAACAAAACAATATAAATTCAGAAAAAATTTATAAGAAGAAGCAGAAGAAAAAGAAAAAATGGAGGGGATTAAAAAAAAGGATTAAAGTTTTTTTTTTTTTTTTAAATAATTGTAATACTGATTGTTTCGTTCGTTCGTTCGTTCGTTAATTGTTTAGTTTAATCTTTTTTTTTTTTTAATTCATTCATTCATTCAATCAATCAATCATTGTGGTTTTAGTTAAAAAAAAAAAAAAAAAGATAAGAAAAAAAAATGTCGCTTTGAATGTTTCTAAAGGATAGAAAAGGATAGTAGAAAAGAAGGTTCGGTTTCATTTATAGCTTTTAAATTTTTTTTAACGGGAAATGAATGAATGAATCGGCTTTTGTTGTGGCCTAATTTTCTTTTTTTTTATTTGTGTTTTAAATTTAATTAACATTTATTATTATTATTATTATTATTATTATTATTATTATTATTATTATTATTATTATTATTATTGTAATTAATTTTTCTTTCTTTCTTTTTTTAATCGGTAAAGGTTAATTTAATTTAACGTGAGAGAGAGAGAGAGAGAGGAAGAAAAAAAGTTTGTTTTTTATGTATTCATCATTTTATTTTCTACATCATTCTAATTTTTTAAAAACAAACAAACAAACAAACAACCAAACACACATTAGAGGAGGAGGAAGAGAAAAGAAAGAAAGAAAAAAAAAAGACTGTTAGATTACCAAAGAATCAGATGATTAAAAATTTTTTTTTTTTTCTGGTTAACGTGCCACATTTTTTTTTTTCGAATAGAAAACCTAAAAAAAAAAAAAAAAAAAAAAAAAAAAAACAATTTCAAATCTAAACGTGTTTAGTTGTTTAAAAAAAAAAAAAATAATAATAATAATAATAATAATAATAATAATTTACCAAAGTTTTTCTTTTTTTGTTTGCCGCCCCCGCCGCCGCCGCCGGCTTGTTTATCATTTTTTTTTAACAAACAAAAGGAATTTTCCGGAAATATTCGGAAAAATACAAAAAGAAAAGAAAAAAAAGAAAATAAAAGGATTTAATTAAATGTTATGAAAAAAAAAACGCGAGTAACGGTGTAAAATTTGCTTTCTTTTTTTTAAGCGATTTTTGTTTCTATTAGGAGGGGATGTGATTAAATGTTAAGGTCGAAAAT